AGGGAGGGAGGGAGGGAGGGAGGGAGGGAGGGGGAGAGAGAGAGAGAGAGAGAGAGAGAGAGAGAGAGAGAGAGAGAGAGAGAGAATTCTTCTCTGGTTAAGTTGGAAGGTTCTATGTGAACATCCATACCTGACAGTTAGAATGTGGTTTTTGGGTTTGTTATTTTATCCTGCCAATCCATTCCAAGCAATAGTAACAAAATAACACAAACTGGGCTTGCCTAGCAAGCATGTGACCCTGGGTTCAGTCCCAAGCCCTCCAAATATCAAACAAACAAGACTAGTAACCAATCAGCAGGTAAATTTGTTTCTCAAAACCCTGGAATCAGAAATTTGAACATCAAAGAACCAACCAATCTGGTGTCCTCACTATACTTCCTATCTTCTCCTGTCTCCTCCCGTGGAGGCCATGGAGGCCATGGAGGCCATGGAGGCCAGGGAGGCCGGGTAGGGCACAATGAACAAGCTCTTTGAGACCTTGTTCATAAGAAAAGTCCTCCTCCGTCTCCCGTGCAATGCAGAGGCTTCATGATCTCACTACCTCCCCAAGGCCCCAGATAGGAGGTTAGGTTTTGATACATGAGTCTGGGGAGAAAATAACCATCACATAGAACACATTTAAAATGGAAAATATGCCTTTGGGGTGCCTCGAAACAATCACTTGTTTAGCCTATCATTCTGTGGCCTGGTGATTGGGGCTGGGCTTAGCCAGAAGGCTCCTCTGCAGACTGTATTGCTTGCATGAACCTACTGGTTCCTGACTATGTCACTATGAGTCTACCAGCTGATAGGGGCAGACACAGGCCAGGTGGCTCTAGTACCTAGCAAGCTAGCATAGACTTCCTGGTGGCTAGACTCCAAAGTCAGTGGGAGAGAATCAGCCCTGAGGAAGTTCTAGGACTTTTCAAGCCTGAACTTGTGAGGTGTCCCTCATGTCCCAAGGATTGAATCCAGAATCAAGACCTGCCAAAGCTGACCCAAGGAACTGCAGAAGACTTCCACATTTCCTTTTTTTTTTCTTTTCTTTTAATTCTACTGCATGGTACACACTTTTCTGGAAGGATCTATGCGCCCTCCCCCAACTTCACATTCTCCATGTTCATAACCTAAGAGACGCCTCTTTTTTGTTGGGGTGGGGGTAGGGACTGTCTTTTTAATAGTTCCATGAACATCCGACTGAAAATAGTTTTTAAAATGTAGCATGAGGAAGTGGAATTTTTTTTAAACCGGACTTCAGCAGAATTTTTAAAAGAATCTTTCTTTTCTTGGGTTGCCTCTCCCTTGTTATAAATTATAACTCCACCCAGTGGCACACCACAGCCAGCCAGTCTCTCCTTCCCACCCTTCCAAAGCACTGCTGGCTTGGCAACCAGTCTCAGCTCACATTGTAGAAGAGACCAGAAGCAAGCTGGCTTCCTGCTCTCCTCGCCCCCTCCCTCCTTCCTCCACCCCTGGGGCTCACCCTTCGCTCACTCCTGCTCTGTGTGGCTCTGGTGCCCCTCCAAAGAGCAGGGGTTACAAAAACCTATGTAGCATAGGGTTGTTGTCTGTATAGCCCCGCAGGTGGTACACAGCACAGGGTGGCTCAGAGACTTAGCCAGAAAAATTTAAATATAAGAACATTTATTGTAAAGACAATGTGGGCCGGGCAGTGGTGGCTCATGCCTTTAATCCTAGCCCTTGGGAGGCAGAGGCAGGTGGATTTCTGAGTTTGAGGCCAGCCTGGTCTACAGAGTGAGTTCCAGGACAGCCCAGGCTATACAGAGAAACCCTGTCTTGAAAAACCAAAAAAAAAAAAAAAAAAAAGACAATGTGTATGAAATCACATTTAAAGACATTTGTGATGCTTGGCATAGTTAGTTCAGTGCATGAATTCATTTCACAAATACTTATGGAATATTTACTGTGTTCCAAGTCCCTTATAGCCTAGTGGGAGAGACAGACAACGTGAAAAGAATTTGAATTAATGAATATCAGTTAATTATTCAAGTGGGTGTCTTGTGAGGATATTTGGTCACTGTGCCTAGTGTGCGTAGTTGAGACTTTTCACCTCATGTGGGCTAGCCCAGGGCTGCCCCATAGAAATAGAATATATATATATCTTTAGATTTTTCAGAATATTACAAAAGTAAAATCAAACAGGTAAAAATCATCTTAATGGTTCATTTCATTCCACTCAACATGTCCAAGATATTGCCATTTCACTATGCAATTAATATAAAATTATTAATGAGATGACTTACATCCTTTTTATTATACCATCTTTGAAATCCAGCTTGTATTTTACACTTGTAGTCCGTCTCCATTTTAATGCCAAGTTTTCAACAGTTAAAGTAAAATGTAGTCCCTATTGAAGCAATTAAGTTGTGTTTAACGGAAACATATTTTATATTGCTTTGGTTTAAAATTTGTAATTGAAATGAAATAAAGTAGAAAAATTCAGTTACTTACTGGCATTACTCATTGATCAAGTACCTCGGCATCCATGTGTGACTGCTGGGTACCAAACTGGAGATCAGGAGTCCAAAAGAATAAACAGACGGACATTGAAGGGAGAAGGGATAGGAGAAGAAGACAAATATCAATAGGAATAAAGGCCTGTGACATCGTATTGATGTAGAAACCCTGGGGTGTCCTGAAAGTGAGGACCCAGTGTCCTAGAAACTCAAAGGCCACCAAAGCCATCCTGAACTGGTGGCTTTCTGGTTCTTGTCTCATGGGTTCAAATAATTAAGTTTAATGACCACAGAGGGTAAATTTTAGAAAGAAGTTTATTATAAATCCATAGGCGAGAGAGAGAGAGAGAGAGAGAGAGAGAGAGAGAGAGAGAGAGAGA